GGGGCATGGCACAAAGGCAACACAGTCAAATAAGCAATAAGAGTCCTTTTATTATCTCCAACTTTGCCCCCAATGTCTACGTTAACTTTAGCTGGAGAAAAACTCTCCCAGGAGCAGCCTTTAACTGTAGAAAATTCCATTCAAAACAAGGTATATACAAACTGTAACTAAAAGTCCAAACAAACCAATCTGAACTAATTAGCTTGACAGGACAGGAGAAGGAATTTCAGACTTAAAAGCACAGCAAAACTCACATGGTTGGAAAGACACCAGGAACACAGATAAGCCACAATGATACAAGATAAATTCACATTTGCTCCCAACTGCTTGCTGTGCGCAGCTTCCTTTTTTTTATACTATGTGTTCCCAGCTGCAGCTAATGAAGGGAATCAGAGCCCCTTCCTCCCCATGCAACTCATGTTGCTCCCTTTTCCATTCCTCCCTGTGTGCCCTAGGATGAAGAGGAGGTGGACCTGGGTCTTCCTCTGAATTCCCTTTCCCTTGCTCTACCTCTCCCCTTCTCTGCCCAGCCAGACTTTGCCCTTCTCCAGTTTCTTCCACAGCTAACGGAGCCACACTCCCACTCTCTGTCAGCTGTTTGGCTTCCCCTTCCAAGTCAGACTCCAACGGGGCATGAAAACTAGTTTATGAAGACTCGACTAATTTCCCTACCAGTATCTTCATAGCTTCATAGCTTCCCAACCATAATTATTCCAATATTAGAGTGATGAGCACAGACCTTATTTCATGTAAATGATGGCTAGGCGATTCTATGAATGGCCTTGCTTAAATTTATACAATGAAATGATAACTTGAAATAATTCTTAGCCTATAATTCATCCCTTGCATTTATCACAACAAAACTTTATCCTTTTCAATAATCTTTCTTTTTGATGTCATAAAGTATGCAGACACTCTTCTGAGAAGCAAACACACACACACACACACACACACACACACACACACACACACAAAAGAAGAAAAGTTTTGAAATGTGAATCTGGGAGAGTTTACACTCCACACAAACAATGCCATGCAAGATAAATTACAGTCTGGGCAGAAGCAGTGCACTCCATAAGATCAAAGGAGGAGTGTGAACAAACACTGAAATACATAGAATATGCTGGTATTTGGTGGGGGCGGGGAGGGTTTATATGTGAATGTGTCTGTAAGCAGAAAAACTAACATGCAATTGCAGTAAAGAAAACAAATGCAGTTGCGCCTATATTTTCTCTTCAGTAAGATATGGCAGCTGTAGAATATTGTGAGAGCTTTTGCAATTTCCTTTTTTTTAATGCTGGATATATGGTAAAAAGAAACTACGACAAATGGCCAATCTAACACATTATAAAGCCAAATTTGGTTTTAATTATGTTAATATTTTGCTTTGATGGCTTCTCTTTTTGCTCCCATTGAAAAAAAATAGTATAAATCCAACCCAGGCTGAGTTGTCTTCTACTAACAGGCTTTTGTTTTTTTAAAAAATCTGACTTAAACTTTGTGTGTTCCCAGAAATTGTTTCCCATTGTAAACTGAATTCCCAACCTGAGCAATTATACCACTGAACGATTTAGAAAAAAGTATCTATTCTGTTATATTTCAGTGCTGCAGCCAACAAAGTTCATGTGAACTTTATGTAACAGCATATATCCTTCTACTTCTTTAATTCCCTCCTCACAGAACTGTTTTCCATCAAATTTCATTTCAGTCAAAAGGGGAGATTACTGTACAGTGTGGAACTCCTTGCTGCAGGTGGCAAACTGCCCACAGATTTAAAATGACATTCAGTACAAAGTTCTTGAATGCAACTTCGGATACAATCAGACATTAAAATACAGAAGAATGTAGATTTGAATGTTGTCTTGATTTCAAATAATGGATCAGAGCAACAAGCTTATGAATAAGCAAATTGCAGAGGATAGCATCCTTGAAGTACTTTTCTTTGGAAGGTGGGGATCTGGATAACTAGGAGCTAGGGACCTAGAAGATATAGGTATCACAAATAATTTATTCTAGCCCAAACCATCATAAGCTAAAAAGGCTTTAGCAACCTTCAATATAATAGGCTAAAGCAAACTCCACAACTGGAGTATTTTTATTATCTAAGCTCTCCTTCTCTAGGAATCTTCCAACTTCCCCTGTCGGTTTCATGCCATTATAAAAGCTTTCAAAACTGGATATACTTAAAAAAGACCCCACATTCACATGTTTCTATGACATAGTGGTCAGAGTAAGAGATGGGAATATTTGTGTGAGTTGTCACATCTGGTATGAATTCATTAGACTTGTAACTTATTCAAATTTCAGCACAGACACTCTACCCTTCCCAATTTTGCCTATATGGCAGTCAGCATTGCTGAGATCATTTTATGTGTTGTAGCCACCCAAGGATACTTATATTGTCCTAAGATTAGTTTCAGCATCTCATTTGATAAATAACCTTATCCAGACGAACCAACTGAAAACTATGACTGGCTTCCCAATCATGTTAACCTACCATTTCTTTTTTTAATCATAGTTTATTGAATAAACTATAATTATATGGGCTCACAGATTGCAATGTGCAAATTTGTACTATGCAAATGATGCACAGATCACAATGGCTAAATTCACACAACATTTTGCCAAGATAACACCTTCCAGACATGTGGACCTATAATTCTTCAGCTACCATGGACAGTTCTGAGAATACTGGGAACTGGACTACAGGTCTAATGGATTCCTAATTTGGGGAGATTGTGCCACACCAAAATGCAATAAACCACATCATTGTGAGATCAAGAAGGACTATGATCAGATCATGAGAACATCACGATCATGAGAACATCGTGAGTACTGGCAAATGATATTTAACAGATGTTAATTGCCTTTCTAAAGTGGAAGCAACCAGTTGTCAGTCTGTTAGAAAAACAGGTGGAAATAAAATAATAAGTTCTGAGCCTGGGGATAGATGAATCGAGGGAACGTAAGATTTATGATTTGCAGGTGCTGGCTTTCTTTTGCATGTTTTGTTTTTGTTTTTTGTATCCATTCTTGAATCTGTGCTTGCTATTCCAGGTTTGAATATCAGGTTTCCTCCAACTTTGAGGAAACCTGATATTTATTAATTAAGGAATGTGAACTTTTAGGAGTTAGTCTTGGGTGAGTTCATGGAAATATCAACTATTCTAGGCAACAAAGTCTGTTTTCATTTTCCACTAAGGTGTCTTCATTTTCCCAGTTTATCCTATAGAAGTTGTCTTTGTTGGTGTAGTCCATGAAAATCTCATTCAAGTCTGACCATGCATATTTCTTCAAGATCAACCATGATATAACTAGGAGTGGCTGCCATGTTTAGGAAATAGATAAGTCTAAGTACATGAACCAATGGCCCAGTTCATGAAAGGGTAGCTTCTGCCTTTGGTACAAATGGAATTTTACATCATTCAATTTCATGGGACATTCATAGACCTTACTGGGTAATAAGGAGGATTACTCTTGGGCATAGATTAAGCTAACATAGGTATCAACTATACAAGCTTAAAACAAAAGGTTCAGGATAAACAGAAGCATTTCAGCAAACACCATATTTAATAAACAATAATCAGAATAGAGCTGGAAGGGACCTTGGAGGTTTTGTAATACAAGCTCCTGCTCAAGCAGGAAACCCTGTAACATTTCAGACAAGTGACTGTCCTGTCCCTTCTTAAAAACCTCCAGTGATGAAGCACTCACAACTTCTGAAGGCAAGCTGTCCCAATGGTTAATTGTTCTCACTGACAGGAAGTTTCTCCTTAATTCTAAGTTACTTCTCTCTTTGATTTAATTGTCACCAGACCTAATATTATATTTGCAGAATTGGGGGGGGGGATTGTACAGATTTTAAGATTTCCAGAAGGCATTTGCTTACAATGTCTATAACTTCCTGAAGCAAAGCTAACATTTTTGAGACTCGGGATTTTTCTCTTCCTAAAGGTATATTACTAAAGAATATTTACAGTGATAAATAGATTTTGTCCAGGATAATCTGCCCAATCTGGTCCTTTAGGTCTTCCAAGAGTGTATATCTTGCCATTGTAATTATATCCAATTCTTCCTTTTTTCTAACTTTCCCAGCATTATAGACTTCTCAGGAGAGATAAATCTTCACATAATGTATCCAAAATAGGAAAATATATATATATATATATATATATATATATATATATTGAATACACCTCATCAGCTTTACAAGATGAGTCAGCAAGGAAGATGTATCAAATGTCACTTTTACTGTGGGCTGGTATCCTTGGGGAAGTTTTAAAAGTTCACTTGAAAAAGCCTAGTTTATGTGCATTTGAAAAAGATGGTTCCCAAGAGCCAAGCGTCAATTATCCCTAAAACTCTGCTTGGCTGAATTCATCTAGAGGACACCTATTTATTTGAAAACTTTCCAAGACTCTTTTGCTTCCAGTTGCATTGTTTGGATTTGGCATCTATCAAGTTTTCTTTATGGCAGCTTTTGTTCACGTATGATATACATTAGTAGCCACCAATCTTTTTCAAATAATCTAATTCTCTTCTTACATCATACAGCCTGTTATTGAGGGAATTCCTTGGTCATGCGTATGACAATCTTCATTATAAACTGCTCTTTTTAAAATGTTTTCCCTTTACTCTGTTGATATTTGACATTAAGTTAGGCATGTCATACAAAGGATACCATCTATTAGCTACTCTTATAATAAAGAACAACCAGGCTTGGTAGTATGCTCCTAATTTTACTTGTTTATCTATTTCTATATTAGTCCATATGCATGACATGCCAAACCTACTCTGGAGCTGAAATGTAAACCACAAGGATGAGACACTTCATTGTTTTTCCCCATTTGCACCCTGATTTCCCACCTTAAAGTTTCTTCAGATTAAAAAAAAGAAGGTTTAAAAAAGTCTGAAGCTAGAATAATGCTATTTTGCAACTATCCTAGCCCCCCTACCCTGTGTAGAGGAGACCGACATGAAGTTAAGACAACTTTAGATGATAGGTGGAACATTGTTAGGTAAACCCCAAAATCACCATTGGCTTCCCCATTGACTTTACTTCAGCTAGGAACCCAAAACTCTTATAAAAAATTGTAATCCAACCTTGAGTTTGTCATGCTCCAGAATTTTACAGAACTGCCTACTGAAATGAAGGAGCTGTCCCCATCTCTTATTTTCTCTGATAAACTTTTTCCCCACTTCTAAAAACAACACTTGTAAGGCAAAGTTTCTCCTCTACTACACCTGGCATCTATTTGTCTCTTCAGACTGTTGCTACTGCCTGACCAACATAGCTTTCTGAGCAAATGAAACACCTGTCTCCCCTTGCAACTTTTTCTGTAATGCCGAGAAGTAATTAGCTACAAATAATTGCTAGGTAAGAAAGGTTGTATTAACAAGAGTCACATTATTCATTACTCTGAATTCCTTGTGGATGGGCTGTAATTTTTTTCCCTAGTTATTGCTAGCTGCGCTTTTCAATCTACATTTTACCTCTTAGAAATAATTCTGGCAAGCATGTTCATTTGCTAACACAAGAATGTTAAATTCATTTCTGAAGCAGGCTCAAAAAGTGAGTTCTATAATCCTCCCACAGTCATACCTACTTTAGTAATGGGGGAAGGATAATATCAGGAGATTAGAAACTCCACAAATGTGTGCTGCTCTCACACAATCCTTCCCTTGTTAGGATCCAGGAAATAGACTGTTCATGGCCTTGGTTACTGAGCAGAGCCATGAAAGATATTCTAATTTTTCATAGTTTGAAACATAGTACTTGATTATCCTTAAAATGCTAATAGTTTCTTACAACAGGAGTAAGTGAATGGAAATTATCAGAAATTTAAAAAACTGAGCAAATCTTATTTGTTTTAATTTGGATGGCTGAATAATTATCTATGAATCTAAACTGGCTTTTTACATAGTCAATATTAATGATTTTGGACTTATTGTTGTCCTAAGGATGTAGAGAAAATAGAAGAAACAAAATAGGAAAAACATTTTTCTAAAATAACCATGTGACACAGAGAGATTAGCAGGTGGACTAAAGTTTTCCACATCTTTTCTCATTGACTTAATTTCCTATCATTAATATATAAAGATGCTCTAGATATCATGTTCCAAAAACTAAGACAGATTTTGATACTCCCAAGAAAATTTATTTCTTATTCTACACCTATAGAAAGAATCTTGATAAACTGAAGCAGGTGACTACTTATATGAAGCATACGCTCTGCGAACTATTAAGGAGGCACTATTTTCACCCTTTTTTTCTCACAGAAAATATCTGAACTGTGTTGTTTCTTACTATTCTGGAATGTACCAACCCCAATCCAGCCCATTACATAGCCCTGCCCGAGTCATCTTAATCAATGCCTAGTGATGGCTAGGATAACTGGGTTCATCTTCTGACATTATTTTATTCTTCAATTAAAAATGGGTCCTAAAGACTTCATTTACACTTTGAAGAGAGTTAAAATTGATGAGCACATGTGGGATTTAAGAGCAGCATGATAACAGAATAATAGAATAACTGAGCTGGATCATTGGATAGAGTGAAGGGATACAGAAAACTGCCTTAGTTGCCATCTAGTAGTTATCCAGATTGGTGCAATCCAGAAATGATACTCCAAGATAAAGTTTGGGAGTTCATATGTAACTGTTTGAATGTGGTATCCTTTCAAAGGATGAAGATGAAAAGAAGGGCTAGGGTTAATTACACATATCTACGTTCTCTATCTTATTGGTTTAAATCATGTGTTCCCAACCTGTTGTGCCCTAACCCTCAGAGATGTGGACATGAAATTTCAAAAGGTACATGACTTGTGTCCCTTAGTGACAAGTCAAGAATCACAATTAGTTTTGTAAGTGGTGTGAACATCAATCCAACATTTCTCAGAGGAATGGAGCATAGAAATGTTGGGAACCACTAGTTTAAGCTAATCTATATACTGTATGACACAGTATGTAGACCAGGGGTGTCAGACTCCTATCATCATGGTAGCATCATGTGACATATCAGGACTTTTTCCCTCTTTGCTAAACAGAGAATGGGTGTGACCAGCACATGATGCATCCAGCCCACGGGGTGGGAGTTTGACAGCCCTGATATAGACAAAACATGAAAAGACATGCTTTTTAATCAAAGCACCTGTCTGGACCCTCTGCTTAAAGCTATGAAGCAGCTACAGCCCATCAAATACTCTGAGCATCTATTTCAAAATCATCTCAGGGTCTCCTAGATATGCATAACCAGAAAACACATCCATTTGGATATTTAGCTGAAATGAAATTTTGAGAAGGGAATCCAGAAACAGTGTCATGAAATGATTTGCATAAGCCTACAAGGTATCCAATTCTTCAGCAATAAACTACAATAACAGAATTGCGCTAAAATGACTTGACCATATAATTCTCCTAAATTAGTGCAATGGTGGTGTCAGAAAAGCTCAAATGCCA